TATATATATATATATTCGCTTAATATATATTCTACACACATGATGAATCTTGGTAGTTTTAGTGATTAAATTTGAATGAGTTATTTTAGTTTGCTTCTTACCAAATAAATATGAGTTATTTACTTTCTTTTATTTTTTACAAAAGAAAAATTTGAAGTGGTTCTAAAGGAATTACATAGGAATAGAATACTCCTAAGTTATTTAGGATTGATGAAGTTATTACATTACACAGGTTGAAGAATCAAATCAAAGATGTCATTAAAGTAAGAAGTGTTGACAATATAAAAAAAAACTTCATTATTGACATCTAATTTATTACCAAGAAGATGATTATTGATAAGTGTTGATTATGATTTCCTTCAACGCATGAATGATAGATTACATGTTTTCTGTATACAAAAATTTCATAAAGATCAATTGATTATATGCTAAGATTGAGAGAATTGCAAAAGATATTTTGTGATGTTTGCGTCAACCATGGACTCCAAACAAAATTATTGTTTATTTATGTGAAAGTATGAATGATGATGATTTATTAACTAATTTTTGTGATCCATAATATTAATGTTTATTGAATAATAAACAAAATTTTATTTATTATATATGTTTCAAATTTTTAGTTTTATTTAAATTGTTTATGTTAATTTATGTTTGTGATTTATAGATTAATTTATTAATTTTAATTTTAATTTTTAAATGTAATTCAAATTAAAAATTTATTATAGAATTATTTTAATTTAAAATTTAAAAAACATTAATATTTTTTCAATGTAAAAAATTATTATTTATTAATTAATTACACATATGTGTATATATATAACTAAATTATAATTTATTAATTACTATTTTAAGGTTTAATAAATTATATTTTTAAAAAAAATTATTTATTAAATGTCAGCATGTGGCATTAGTGTAGAGAATGTCACATGCATGGCTTCTTTTGTTGTTGTTCATGGCAACAACACATTTTGCCACACAACATTCTTCATTGTTATCTTGAACAACGACTTTATGTTAATTTGTTTATAATTTATAGATTAATTAATAAAATTAACTTATAATTTTTAAATGTAAATTAAAAAAATTATTATAGATTTATTTTTAATTTAATTTTAGATAACATTATTAAATTTTAAATGTAAAAAATTATTACTTATTTAATTTTAGATTTATTCACTTGTTTTTTCTTCTCTCAAGCTTTAGTCTCCATATGAGTATTTTCTTTAGATGTTGCTATTTGAGTTATCATCACTTGTAAATGTAATATATTTTTTTTTCTTCTTTTCCTTGCAAATCCTTTTATGTATATGACATTCACGTGTAAGTTTGAAGGTAGTATTTTTTTTTAATAATTTTTTTTTCTAGTATTCACTTACTATTTGGTAATTTCTTTATAGTATTCACGTGTAAGTTGTAGCTGATATTGAAATGGTAATATACAATCATCTATTTGATCTTTACTTGATTTACCTTTGCTTTGAAATGAAAGAGAAACATGGTAGTTTTCACCCTCTTTGTCATCTTCATATTCTTCTCTTGATATATATGTCAAACATTGAAATTGTTGTTCATTAACTTAGCAAAGTGTTAGATTTTGTAATGAAGTTGAAGATGTACCTTCGATATCAATTTTCATGTATAATTCCATTATTGACACAATTTTTTGGTCTTGAAACGCGTCTATCATGCACTATATATCGTTATCATCACTTAATTCCATTGCTTCATATTTATTTTCAACTAAAAAATGATATTGTAAAGATAATATAACTTAATCATCTCTATGACAAAATTTGTTATGAATCTTTTTTTTCAAAACACCCAAAGATATATTGTGTTTAATATACATTCTTTTATTTAGACCATTAAATATAACACCTTTTGGATCTTCAAAAATTTTAGTATAAATAACAATCACAATTTTATTCATAATATAATATTAATGTATCTGCAAAATAAAAAGAACAACAATAAACAAATTAAAACTATCAACAAGAATTAATTTTTAAAAAATTATCATACTCTTATCACTCAGTCCTAGAAAAAACAACCACAACTTATAGTATGGCAAAAAACCTATATAAATAAGGAGGACAACGACACTTAAAAAAATAAAAAAATAAAGTCCCCCACTTAGGTACAACATGACTAAAGAAAAAAGAAAGTCTTCTAATTGGAGAGAGCGAAACAAATTTTAAAAAAATTAAATACATATATCTTACTCTTAGGGAGAGTGACACTATTTAATATAAAAAATAACATAAGTCTCCCATTGGGCTACAATGACACTCAACAAATAAAAAAAAAATAGTCCCCCATTAGGAGACAACACCACTTATACAAAAATAAAAATAAAAAAAGTCCCCTATTAGAGTACAACGACATTAATTAAAAAAATATATCCTTTAATGGAAACAACGACACTAGAAGAACAATTCAAACGATAAAATAAAAAAAGGTAATTCCCCATTGAAAGATAATGACATCAATTAAAAAAATAAAAAATAAATAAATCCTCCACTCGAGGGCAACAACACTAGAAGAACAATTAAAAAAATATAAAAAAAAAGTCTCTCATTGAGGGATAACAACATCAATTAGGAAAAAAAAATAGAGTTAATCACCTATACACTGCCAGTGTAAAAAAAACTTTACACTGGCAGTGTATAGGCGATTAACTCAAAAAAATATACCCCCACTTAGGACAGTGACACTTTTTTGAATTACATAAAACAAGTGACATTGGAGTTATATGTGTCAATGATGATCTCGCACACGGCTCCAACATCACCATTATGGCATCAAGTGTCACTTTCCAAGTCAATTTTTTTAAACAAAAAAAGATTACATGGCATGAGGTGACGTTATGTTGACCAATGACATCAACATTAACTACCCTAAAGTGAGAATAAGTTTGAAAACAACACCACTCTTGTAATAAGTTTTCATAATGACTCTAATTGGGTTAAAACGTTAGATGAGTGACAATATGCTTTGAGAGGACCTCCACACAAAAATATTTGTACAACCTTTTCAAAATAGAACTCCAATAACCTATAACTATAATATCGGTACTTGCAATAAAGAAGCGACAACAGATTCTTATGACGTATTGTTGTCTCTTATTCTTGTAAGCCAAAGTAACGGATTGAGTTCTCTGAACTTTATAACCTTTGGATGTACCCTTCTTAAAAGCAACCCCTGCAAGTATATCTAGTACTTCTAAATAAATAAAAGTTAACTAAATAAGTAATTAATGAATTGTGGTCATTTATAACACTGTATAATGTATAATGGAGTTAGACCTTTGATCTCTATCTTGAACATATGAACTTGAAAATATCATTTTATCTCTATAAGAGTTGACTTGGTACAATAAGTTAAGGGTGAAATTGAAAAAAGATACATATACAAAATAAAATTTGTTCATCCTATTAATAATAACTATTTTTTTTTACATAGATATAAAGTATCTTTTTTGCCATTATTATATATAAAAAGTATTGAAAAAATACAAAATAAAAACTAGTTTCATTTTGTGACGAAGGCTTGGGTGGTTCATCTCTATAGGTGGATCACCATACTCCATTAATTTTACCCCCTAGATTAATATGAGACACAGATCATTAGGGTGCACCCTCCATACTAAATCTTAGCATCTTTTCTTCACATTCTAACACCATTGTGAGAGAAAATTTTCGATGGTGACACCATTTCAACCCCCCCCCCAAAATTTCCTTTTTTCCTCATCGTCTTTTGATGTAGGGGCGCAAGATGGCTACGGGAGGGCAGACAATGACACGGAGGCTCAACATGGGCGTGAGTGCAAACCAAGATGCTACAACACACAACGTGATTACGAACAACACAAACTGCCATTTCTTGCTTTAGATTCAAATCCATGCCTATGCTTAATCTCTAATTTGTTTGTTCTTAATCTCATGGTAGCCTTAGTGAAGGTTGTGATGGTGGTGGCAACAGATATAGTGGTCGATAAAGTTAGCCAATTATACAATTAGATGAAGTAAATAAGAAGTAGTAATCTGGTGTAAAGAGCCTATAATATTTATATGCACCGTATTTTCATCTAACAAATGTTAATTGTTGAGCATGGTGGACCACCTATTCAAGTTGACCCCTTAGAATTCATCTCATTTTGTATCTAGTAAAGATACAATTTTTTCTTTGTGTATTACTATATCTTGACATGAGAAAAATTAATTTCCATTAAATTTAAAAATCTTGAGAAAAAAGAACGAAATATTTCCAAAAAAAAAAAAGCATGGAAGTGTGAAAAGTCTTGAAAATAAGGAAGGACAAAATTTATATAAAAAGAGGTGTGAAGAAAAGAAAGGTGTGTGAATATTAAATAATACAAAAAAAAAAAGTGAAGTTAAAGGAGTATGAGCACGAGGGAAAGGAAACTTGAAAAAAAATTTAAAAAGAGGGGAATATAAAAATGAAAATAATTTATAAATAATTTATTTATTTTTTAAAAATTGAGGGGATAAAAAGTGAGGTACAAATAGCAACCCAATAGAAAAAGATGGATTAAAAATTTAGTCCGAACGGGCCCATGCGCAGCCCAAATGATACCCGTGTTCTCTCAGGCAAACACCGAGTCTGGTGAGGCCCATCCGCCATTAACATTTGAAAGCCATATTCCGTTTGGATCTCCACACTCTTCACTTTCCTTTCTTCTTTTTTATTTTCTCTGACAATGAGTGTTCGCTACTGATTCAGCAGAAGAAGATGGGGGCAGAGTCACAAATTCCACGAAGCTTAATCCACAGAATCTACGCTCCATTTGCTAACGAATTTCCTTTTGCAGCGCCCATCTCCTCCTCCAGAACAGATGAACGCGAACTCGTATGTCTCTCTCTCATATTCATTATTGATTCGATTCTTGAATTCAATTTGCATTATCCTTTAATGAGTGCGGCAATTCAATTGTACGTTTTTGCTATAATGATGAAAGGTGCGAGGTGTTCTACGAATGCTGCAAGGGTTTTCTTGTTCCCTGTTCTCTTGGGATAACACTTCAAACAGTTTCCGTCCCGAGAGCGGAGTGTACGTGAGTCACCTCTCTCTGAAAAGTCTCCATTGTCTTCTCAATCAGTTTATCCACGCGGCAACGTGTCTCCAATTGGTTGGGATTTCACTCAGTAAAGTTGAAACTGCAGTGCCAAAACCTCCTCCTACTTTGGGCGCATTTGCGTGCTCTGCTTCAGCGTGCCTCAAGGTTTCTTTCTAATGCTCATAGGACAGGATTCAGCTTTACTACACACGCTATTCTCTCTGGAATTTTCTCTTTCTGAATCAGGTTTTCTTATTGTCATGCAGCGGTTGCGGAATATTGCTCTGAAGGAGGAAACGTCCACGAGCAATGCCGATGACATAACCACTCCAACCTTGTTAGGATTGGCTAATTCGTTATCGAGGTTTCTGCTTTCTTTGAATTTCAAACTCTAGCAGAGTTAGGGTCATTTTTCTATGTAGACTAGTTGTTTTCCAGCTTTTCATATTTGTCTCGCAAGAATTTGATTTTAGGAAAGTCCGATTTACATTTGGAATTTTCTTGAATTGTTCTTTTGAAATTCTTTTCTCTAGATTTAGTTTGTTTTGTCATTGTGAGTTTATGATAATATCTCATGGTAATTTTTTGAATTCAGTCTTTGCTCAGGTGCTGAGTTCCTGTTTCAAGTAGTGCATCAGGCCATCCCTGCTGTATACTTTGAGTTTGGTGTGTCTGTACCTGCAGCAGACCTCGCTGTTCATGTGCTTGACTATCTACATATGAAGCTTGATGAAATGTGTCTTGTTCAAGGTGGTGAGGTCGTGACTACTTTTTTTGCTACACATCATGTATTTTTTGAACATTTTTATTCATTCACCAAGATAAACTTTAGAAACTATCCTAATCACAGGAGGAAGCTTATCAGATGGTGCTTTATATGTATGTTGGAAGCTTGTTGCCATATATTGAGGGTCTCGATTCCTGGCTTTTTGAAGGAATTATTGACGATCCTTTTGGTGAGGTAATGTTTATTGAATCTCTCAATTCTTGGAGGGGGAGAAGTTTTTTCTCTTTGTTGTGCTATAGAGAGTCGTAGAATAGAAATCACTCATTTTATGATACTTAAGTTTAACTAAGAAATACTATCTCCAAGTTTTGCATTAATGCAAGAATTGCTATTGAATGCAATTCTGATTTGCTGTTGCAATCTTGAAGTGGCTATGATCATGGTTGTCAAACTCCAGTGTTAACTAGTAAAAACTACTGAGTTTACGAGTTCAGAAGCATCCACCTATTTAACTTGTTGTGCTCGTTTTCAAGTAAAATTGTCCAAACTCGAGCAAGCTCGAGCAGAAATGGACTCAATCACAATTTTAGATGCAACTCAACATGTCTACACTGGTGGCTTAAAACGGCCATAAAATGACACCAAAACGTGTGTTTTGCAAGTGGGTTCTTTTTCTCCATCAGAAAATAGGATTATGGTTGTTCTCTCCCACGATTTGAACCCAAAATGTGGAGGCCGTAAGCTCACGTTGTGTGTGACCTGTACATTTGTGCCTGTTCACATTGTGGCTGTGGTTGTTGGCAGCGGGGCACCCGTCAGCATTGTGGTTCTCGTCAACATTGGGGTTCTTTGTTCTCATGGTGTCGGGTCTGTTGCAGATCTGTTGAAGGTTGTCGGGGTTCTCGTGGTGTCGCGGTACTGATCATTTGTTACAGATTTGTCGAAGCCATTTCCCTTCTTGTCTGTACTTTAATAGCAAGTTCTATTTTTCTTTCTTTAGAGCTTTATATTTGTTAGATATTTGAAGGTTCTCTTTTTATTGACGCTTAGCGCCCCATTTCTTTTTAATTCAACCTAGAAATACACTTATACCTCTGGCTCTAATTATAAGCAACACAGAACAAATCAATGAGACCAATAAAAGTAATTAATATGATTACTTTTAATTAATTCTATCATAAATACAAATTTATTCCAAATAGGAAGGATATAAAAGAAATTTAATAACCCTGAGTAACTTTAAAAATTAATGATTGTTGCTTATAAATAGGATCAAAGTAAAAACCATTTGTTGCTTATAATAATATAATTAGGACAAGAGGTAGTATTTGTTAGATATTATGTCTAGGACTGGATCAAATTCAAGATGCACTGCAGCTGCCTCCTCTGTTTTGTATCAATTTATGCATTATTTGTTGTAGTTTGATCCAATTAAGTAGTAATGTTCACTAAATTTTGCTACTATATTATTGTAATTTTTTATTTTGCTTTAATATAAGTTGAAATGTTGAGTTATTATATTACTTATAGGTATTTTAATATATATATATATATATATGTTTTATATTAAGTAATCTCTTACGAGTTTACAATTCGAGTTTATGGAGTTTCTACAAATTTACATAAACTCTCGAGTTTGACAACCTTGGCCATGTTGGATTTGTTTTACATGACACTCACTTAAACCAAACACACAAACAAGTTCAAAACTTTTCAGCCAGAAGCTCCTAATAGTGCTTTGATTGCAAACTTTTCCAATCATAAAATATGCTTAATCTAAACATGTATTAAAATGTTATGTTGGTTGTGCAATCTCTCTTTTCAGATGTTCTTTTTTACTAATAAAGAAGTCTCAGTTGATGGGGCTGAGTTCTGGGAGAAGAGTTATTTATTAAGAATGCTACAGCATAGCAAGTTAGATTCAGAATTATCTTCCACAAATCATGTCAACGATTCTGTGCCAGCATCAGATAACAAGGAAACGGACAGGAGGGGTTCCATCCCTTTGTCTAGTACAATTAAAGGAAAAGAGCATAGCAATAGAGACCATCCAGCTTGTCCTCTTTTTATTAAGGATTTAACTAGATCAATAGTTTCTGCTGGGAAATCTTTGCAGCTGATGCGGCATGTACCTAATTCTGCAGTGAATTGTGGCAAAGGAAGTAATTATGAGATTGGAAGCACCAAATGTTTAAACTATGGTTTATATCCTTTTAAGAGAATGGCTGGGCTATCGTTGTCAGAAGTTTTTTCTGTATCACTAGTTGGACTTATTGGTCATGGTGACCATGTTTGTAAGTACTTTTGGCTAGATAACTGGTATGTAAATGAGGAAAAAACAGATAATGAGAATAATGAAAAATTAATTGCTCCACCTCACTCGGAGAAGACTTGGTATAATTTCTTGATTGATACATTATATCAGAAAAGATCAGCTATTTTGAAACTAAATTATGAGGACATAAATAATGACACAAGAGAGCTGGGAGGGGCTACAGTTATTGAAGACGAAGAGCTTCTCAGGTCATCCATAGAAAATCCAGTTATTACTGTATGTCGAACAAGCATTGGAAAGAAAGGGGATGCCATGAAAACATTAAATTTATCTCGAAAGTTCAGCTTGCCTTCATTAAATGATGTGGGTTTAAGAAAGGCTATATTTGGTGGAGAAAGAACAGCATTTTCTGATAGTGAAGGAACAAACTATACTTTTGGCTTTCACTTTGGTGAATCTGAATACCGCCGCTCACAGGACGAGAGAAAGCTGTTAGAAATGTTGTTTCCTTTTCCCACAATTTTGCCTTCGTTTCAGGTATTTCTACTCCCTAAGCAGCTTTAGATCTAGGGTGCAGCACTTTGGTATATTGAACAAAAATTTGATTTGAAAACAGGATGATGTTCCTTTGTCAGAGCTCTTGCCTTTTCAGAGAAACAGCAGTCTTATTTCAAGAGTTCTTCGTTGGATGCAAAAGGTTGACCTAAGAATTACTCCGCTTCCTCTGGTTATTGTGCAGTATTGTCTCACTGTCTACATTCAGAAACAGGTGAATCAAATTAAATCACATGTCATTATCCAGGATATAACAATGTAACAATATATAATTGCTCTATTTTGAATAGAACAGGTGGATTATATTGGAGTGAATATGTTGTTAAAGTTGATGAACGAATGGAGATTGATGGATGAGCTTGCAGTGTTGAGAGCTATATACTTGCTAGGTTCAGGTATTTGCTTATTTTAAATTTTTTTTTTATTGTATATTGTGCTCGAATATTTGCTTTTATCACTTTATGCTGGATGTGAGTGGAGTCATTTTGGTTTCTTTTTTCTGTATTGATATTGTCTTGTGCAGGTGATTTGCTGCAACACTTTTTGACTGTAATTTTCAATAAGTTAGATAAGGGTGAAGCATGGGATGATGATTTTGAATTAAACACGATATTACAGGTAGAATTACTTGATTTGCTTAAACTGTTATTCATTAAAATTAGACTATGAAGTTATTCTTAAAATTTGGTTCTAGTATATTTAGAGTCCATCTAACATTTGCTGGAATTTATTCTTAAAATTAGACTATGAAGTTGCTTATACATTCTAATTTCTTACATTAAATTATGTTGAATTTATTTTATGGTTTGAAAAATGATGGAATGGGTTATCATTTAAATGTTAGATAAGTGACAAAGTTTGTAAGATCTTTGGCTAGTTCCATCTGGAAAGAGTAAATTTATATAGTGTGTAAGCCAACTAGAAAGGTCCTCAACACCCTATCTATGTGTGGCTAACTTCATAGAATATGGGACCTTTTAATGACTGAATCTGTTCCTTATGCACATGTGTGACTTTGTCCATAGACATATTACTTCTTTACAAGGATGAAGTACCATTGGGTGCTTGATGGTGTGGTTATCTGATTTTTCGCATTTTTGTTCTTTTCTCTGTGACATGATTTTGTGGGGTCATAGGTGTGTTGCACTGTTGAGCATGTTTGAAAGACTTTCCATATCATATTCCTCTGGTCTTAATCTTTCTTTGCAATAACCCTGCAATATTTCATAAATGTTAGATAAAATGATACTTGTACAACAAACTGTTCAACAAATTTTACACCCAATAGAGATAAAGAGAGAAAAGAGAGAGAAGCTTGAAATGGAATAAATGATGGGATGAAGAGAAGATAGACAAAAAATTGTTGTATATGTTATTGTATGTGTATCATAACACTACAATACATGTTATCTACTGGTTTGGAATTTACTGCAGTGCCATAATTTCTAATAGTAGAGTCCTATTCTACCTGGCATGCAAGAAATGGACCACTGTAAACCATTCTCATCTGTAATGGTTTTTGTTGTGGAGTTACTTATATAAATCCCATTTTGTTATTGGTATTTTTGAGGCACATTATTCAATGGGAAAATGATGAGCCATGAAGTTGTCACAAAACCTTCATATGAAATGCTTTGAAAAAAGATGATGGGCATGTTAAATTTTGGCTTCTACATCCTATGCTGGTTTGGCAAATTGGTAGTGAGTAAATGAATTGCGATTATGTGATATGGCTATTGCTGTATGTACCTCCTGTAATGATGGATTGTATTTTGTGCTTCAGTTTATTTAATAAATTTAGGAATCTTTATATGCCTTTGTTTTTCATTTTGTTTTCTGTTGATAATTTACATATGCATATCAATTACAGGAATCAATCAGAAATTCTTCTGATTGTATGCTGTTAAGTGCTCCAGATTCCTTGGTAGTGTCGATAACCAAAAATCTTGTTGACAGTGATGAGGAAGCTAGCACAGCTGGTGTTGTTTTGAGTACTCCCCGTCAAAGTCATGTCAATAGCTTTGGAATTAATGGCCTTGATATGCTCAAATTCACGTATAAGGTCATTATTTAGTTAATTTATTATTCCTTTCTAATTGAATTCCTATTTAAGAATGTGGGCTTCCTTACAAAATTTCATAAATACCCTATATTGGAAATTTGGATTTGGCAGGTCCCTTGGCCTCTTGAACTTATTGCAAATACAGAGACAATTAAGAAGTACAACCAGGTATCTGGCTTGGTCTGGGATTTTATTTTATTTTATTTTTGCCTTGGCCTTTAAATTCTATTCATCATTCAGTTAGTGTTGTTTGTTCCTGCTACCTGGTTGGTTCTTTTTACAAAGTTTATTCTAATTTTAAAAAATGTATATTTTAGGTGATGCGGTTCTTGTTGAAGGTCAAGCGTGCAAAATTTGTACTGGATAAAGTGCGGAGATGGATGTGGAAGGTGCTTCCATAGATTATTCCCCAATTCTCTTCGGTGGAGCATGTGCTCCCTCAGCTAAATCTTTTCTGGAATAAACTTAACAATCTAGTTTTGTATTTTGCTAAATTCTGGGCATTTACTGTGAGGTTTGAAACTGCAGTCATCCTTTGCAGGGTAGGGGATCTGCTACAAACAACAGAAAGTATCATTGGTTAGTGGAGCAGAAACTCCTTCATTTTGTGGATGCATTTCACCAATATGTGATGGATCGGGTATGCACATTGCATTTAGATAATTATAAAAATAATTGCTCCAAGGAAATATTTACCTGCAAAGCACACAATATATGTGGGACGTGATTAATTAGCATTGAAATTGAAGTAATGATCTAGCAAAATCACAAATAATACTAGCGCCTGTTAACCTACTATTAGAACGGGTTTATTTGCTTTCAGTGCCTTCTAATTTCTTTTTATGATAATCACTAATCACACAATGGAATCTTCCCATTAGTATTCACTCATGCTTGCATGGTTCTGCATTTTGTGAAGAGAACCTGAGCATTTTTATCTGTCACCTCAATTTCTATGCAGGTATATCACAGTGCATGGCGTGAACTATGTGAAGGTATGACTGCAGCAAAATCTCTGGATGAAGTCATTGAAGTCCATGAGTCTTACATATTATCAATTCAGCGGCAGTGCTTTGTGGTTCCTGATAAGCTGGTGATTTGTCATACCCTCTTAATTTGGGCGACTGTGTTCTCCTTTTATCATGTTCTGACTGGTGTATTTTTAAATTATAATGGAGCAAAGCTTCAGTAGTTTCAGCATTCTTTATTGCTTTCAGGGGGCTCTTATTGCCAGCCGCGTCAACAACATCCTTGGCATAGCTTTAGACTTTTATAACATACAACAGACATTAAGTAGCGGTGGAGCTGTTTCTGCAATCAAAGCTAGGTGTGAGATGGAAGTGGACCGGATAGAGAAACAGTTTGATGATTGCATTGCTTTCTTACTTAGGGTATTCTTCTACAGAATTGATTTTAACTATGCTGCTACTGTGTGACTGCCAGTTCTATTGTCTTGATGAAAATAATGAATAATGAATTCTTATATACTATGACTAAATTGCATATGCAGCATCATTTTCCTCACGCAGAAGTTTATGTAAATATGAAAGAGAAACTGAGTGCTGGGGAAATTTACAGATATATGTGACCTGATGACAAAATACTCGCATGAATTGTGTGATTGCAATTGCGTGTCACACCAACTTGCAATAGTATTATAATCTATAACGTGCTCTGAAACATAGGCACTTAGGCACATTGATTTTTTAATTACAGCACCCTCAAGTTAGAGGGAAAAGGATTTGGACCAATAGAAGCCCAAGTTAGAGGAGTTGATTAGATATATGATAGCACATTAATTCGAGGTAGAAAAATACCAAGAAAAACTCTCAAGTGAAACCCTTAAAATGGATATAGATCCAAATGGCTTATCTGAAGATTTTGTTATTTTGAAAGAACACGATGGTGTTATTTGATCCACGTAGGTAACCCCATCTAGAAGGAAGAAGCTTTGGTGATTGTTTTATGCACTCAAACTATCAGTTCAGAGTACACAAAGTACGCAATACATAGAAATTGCACTTATTGACTGTAAAAGTTCATGTCTTTATGAAATGTAGATGTTTACTGGAGAAAATACTTGAAAAACATTATTGGGGAATCATAGTTGACTACCCAGTTAGACATCATAGTTCAGTTTGGTGCTTGATTTGACTTGCAATTATTTCTTTTCTCAAATTTCCTTTCATCTAAACTCTCCCCTTACAACATAACCACAATATATTGTGGTGAGGAATGATTATGTTTATGCTAATTCAATATCTTTCAACAAAAAATAATCATATTTTATTACAAAATAATGTTTTGTTGTGGGAAGGGGTTATTCCATAGAATTTTGTTATATAAAAAATAAAAGGATACATAATTCCAGAAAATAGAAAGGTTAATGGTGTTTGTGTGGTTACTTAAGAATACAATTCTTATCCTGTCTTTTTCAGGTTTTATCGTTCAAACTAAATGTCGGGCACTTCCCTCATTTGGCTGATTTGGTGACCAGAATTAACTACAACTATTTCTACATGTCTGCTAATGGAAATTTGATGACTGCCTCCAGTTCTGGAAGTGTTACTTCAAGGTTGGGGAAGAACCCTGGGTAAATTGTTTGATCTTATGGTGGATTGTGATAACTTTAATCTGAAAATGAGAATAGTTTGCACCTGCTTTCATGTTGTAAAGTATTTTGAGAGAGAATATCTTCCATTTGCTTGGTCTTTGAGCTTAGTGGAGGGGGAACAATTGAAGGCAGTTGTTACTTGTTATCCGTGTTGCCTGTAAATGCAGGGCCACTTGTCTGGCAGCTTGCCTGAGTGTATAGTAAGATATAATTTTAAATTGTATGTCACCAACATAGGATCAACTCCTACTTTTGTCTGTTTGTGTAAGCCTGCGCCGAGTTCTCTCTGTCTGGTATGTTTCGTTTAATTTATTTTAATTGTCAGATTTTAAAAGCCTTTTGAAAATAATTATTGAATCTTACTAATAAGTGTCTTAATGGTCTAATTAAGGAATTAATAATAGGAAGATTTTATTAGAAATTGTGTTGGATTGGGTGCATTGAAGAAAATCATGGTATGTATTAATATTTTTTTAGTATAAACATTTTACTTTTGATCTTTTAACTAGTGTTTAAAAAGTAATTACATTTGTTGTAATTGTCAGATTTAAAAATATTCTCAACTAAGCATGATTAAGTCGTGCCAGAAGATTCAACACAAACGTCCAAGGATGACAACTGTCAAAGTTCTTGATTTTTGATGGAGATCATGGTTGGCTTCATTCAAAACAGTGGTCCAGGGTTATAAGCATTTAAAAGCGCATCCCCAGAATGAACAACTCTGATATAAGACCATATAAGGCACAATTCTGGCATTGAATGAACGACAGCCGCACAATAGTAGAAATTTAGACCACGACTAAACACAAGAAATCGAAGACAGCGATGTCATGAAATTCCCAATGAGTATGACAATGGTGTAATGGTTCTTGGCCATTATAATCTCCAAAGCATACATGATGCTCTAGATCCCTGAATTCTTGCCAACGACTGTTCATAAATGCAAATAATTAGAAATTCAAAATACTCCATAAGTAGTTTTTTTTTAAATTATTCAAATGTTTTAAAAATACAAACTTGATAGGTAATTGAAAATGTTGAAAGCAAATACTTGGTTGTGGATTTAAGGATTTTTTCCCCCTGGAATTTCCACTGATTTGTTATACTCGTCAAAACAGGGGAAAACGGCAAAAGAAAAGATGGAGGGTCCTAATTCTTGAGTCATTTGAATTGGAGTAGTGTCTGTTGTTACTCATTTAAATAATATATTTTTGTTAGGCAAATTAAATTTAAAATATTTTAGATAAAAATGTCACAATAAAAGAGTGACAAAGAAGAGAAGATAAGAGAGTGAAAAAAAGAGACTCTTGTTGGGTGTGTGGACCAGAACCATCTTGAGAAGGGATGAAGCCAAAGTATTCTGGAATGAGATGTTGACGCACTTGTGTGGAATTAAAAGAGTTTCTACCGTATTGTTAAGGTTGTTCACTCATGGCTCCATACAGTACCCGGACTCCTGAAAAAGCTTTTGGATGTTGTTTTGAAAAGGGCTTCTCGAGAAAAGGGTAAGCACTTTTCTCTCTAAAGATTCCACTTTTCTGATTGTTTTTTGCCTTTCCTTTCGTCCTTTTACTGTTCCTCGGGGTTCCTCAACTCAGTCAGGTAATAATAATAATATACCGCTAGTTAAGTTAACCCTTCCAAGTTCCATCAAAACCAGGGGTGTCAAAAAAAAAAAAAAAAAAAACTCTTCAGTCCTTCCTCTTTCTAAACAGCACAGAGATCTCCCTTTATCTCTTCACAAAAAGAATTTTAGAATGAGAATGTGCTTACAAGTATGACACTCTTTTACCTTCTCCTTAGAAGCTTACACCGCCACTGCCACTGCCACTGCTGACCCCTCAAGTAATTCTTTCTCCCTGTTCCTGCATTATATTCATTTTCCACTTGCTTCGTTAACCCAACCAATTAACCATAGCAGGTAGCCAAAATGTCAATGCCATTGTATCAACAACAAGAGCAACCTCCTCCAGTGAGTGTGGCACAACATTCAGCACATGAGTCCGTTGGTCCTGTGATTGGGGTTCTGGTTGTGATAATTGTGTTGGGAGTCATTGCGGTTATGATTGGAAGGCTTTGCTCGGGAAGAAGAATCATGGGGCATGGCCAATACGACGTAGAAAGCTGGGCAGAGAGAAAATGTTCTTCTTGCATTGATGGAAGAATTAACCTCTCACTACCCACAAGGCCCAGTGAGTCCAGCACCTCACTTCCTGCAACTCCCAAGAGACCAGAACAATCTTCTCAGACATCCACACCTAACCATTGATTTCCATGTGGGTGGCTTTTCTTCAATAACAATATTTTGTTGCCATCTTTTTATTGTTTCAATTTTCGTCCTTCTTTTCTTCTCCTATTCAATCACCCTCGTCAAGTACTTATCAAAATTTAGTCTTCAGATGTAATACTATCCCTTGCTTCACTGTCACTTTACAAGGTCGTTTAGTACTTTAGTTATGTTTATCTTTGAATACATTCTCACATCATCCCAAGTATTATTGTTTATCTGTCATTAAAATGAACCTCAATGACATATTCTATGGTAAACTATCGTTTTGGTCCTAGTCAATATAATGCACATTTATATTAGTCTTTGTAATTAAAGAAACATTAAATAAGTTCTTAAATGTATAGTTATTTTTTTATGTTAAGTCTTTGAATTTAACCATTTGTTGTGATTTTAATTCTTAAACATATCATAATATTATTATTTAAGATTACATTATTTCAAAATTTTAGGTTTTTGTGATTGACAAATTGTGCTTTGATATTGGAGAATGTAAAGTGAAGATTGTTCAAATCTTGTAAAAATTACATTGATTATAAGTGACATGACACAATTAAAAGATATAATTGATTGTCAGGATAAATTTTTTTTTTATATTGATAGAATATAGGTGATTAACTCTTTTTTTAATTCATATGAGATATTAGCACCTTTATACTTAGGATTGAGCATAACAAATGTGAATAGTCCACGTTAACGAACAAACATCTAGATCATAGACAAATGTAAGCAACACAATAATAAATACTTAAAATTTGAGCTTAATGTATAGCTTAACTCCACAAACCAAATTTATAATATCCAAAACTTCCGAGGATTACATTCACCACATTTATTTTCATTTTATAAATTCAAATAGATTTATCTCTTGTAAAAAAAACATCTATGGATTCTGCCAAAAAAATATTAATATCTGGCCATACTTCAAATTTTTGTTTTAAACATTTGTGAAAGATAAATGAATTTCATTCATCATTTACTTTTTCTTTTTGATTTTTTTTATGAATATAATTCGCATAATGTTTCAAGACAAAATGTGCTTATGATATGTGATTTTTGTTAGTTAAATATTATTTTAATAATAAAAATCAAATTTAAGAGCACCACTTTTAAGAAGAATGTATTACTATAGATATCAAACATTTCCCTATCAAAATTTAACTTAGTTACATTTTTTGGATTCAAGTTATAAATCATTAATTAAACTAGAATAGTCTCTTTTCCACACACTAATGAGTCATTTCAATTAAAAAAATAATAATAAAATTTTTAATATGATTATATTCATTTATTCATATTTTAATATTTTATTAAAAATAAGGGTGATGTCTACGAGTATAACTTTTAAAATAGTTATAATGAAAATTAATAAACTTATCATATATATATCAATCCATGAATATGATAGGATAATAATGTAATTCTTTTTCACTTGATACATTCTAATTATATTTTATGTTTTAAAGGTATATTTACGTTAATTTATCTGATTTTGTTATAATTTTTGCCTCTAAAGCCTAAACTGTTAATGGGTGCAGTCTCTCAGATAGCAAATACCATCCAAACTCAGCTAGTGAATGTTCTTGCGTTAAAAATTTACATGGTGAAAATTTTATATGTACTTTTCATGAATTTTCATAAATTTTATAAGACCCCACCAGTTTTTGGTGTCTATACAGAAAAGGACAAACACATTTTTTTTCAAGTTAAATTGAATTCATTATCGTTTCACTATATTTTTGTTCAATCTACATGGTTGGAGGAGCATTAAAATCACTTTCAATGAAAGGTGACAGCGTGATACGTGCCATCAATGAACCCAAACAACCAAAATTTTAAAGCACACATTTCATATATTTTATTTTCCTAGAAATTGACCTTTTTTGTTATTCGAGGGAAAACAAAGAAAAAAAACAAAAGTAAAAGATGAACAAACTCAAGACAAAAAGACCAACATGGAAGACATGAAGCGTATGGTAATAGATTTGAAATAGAGTAAAAGTAAATATGATATCAGAGTATAGTAATAGTAATAAATGAACCGTATACTAGAGAGGACCCCGCATTGGCTTGTGTTGTTGTGTCTTTCACATTATGAATATGATATCTCCAATCACCATTGCTAAGTACTTCTCATGTCACAATTCATGAAGATGATGTTCGGAATTCAATGCATGCTTATGATAGATACAAAGTGGAAAGTGGAAAGCTTAATTAGTACAGGAACAGAAGAATGAGTATGATTAATGACGCATAGACATAGCAGACACATTAGCCATGGCATGGACAACATTTAGGTCAATGTCACAATCACAATTAAAAGTTGGACCACTCATCAAATAAAGAGAAGGAATCACTTCAGTTGTCAAGGACACACTCAGATCAGATACATATTCGATTCACACTGTCACTGACATGGCCAATTGGCCTTTTAAGTTTTAACCATACTGTTTCTGCTTCCAAAACTATTTTTCACCTACAATCATTTTTGTACACATATCCTTAACTTATTATTTATATATAAATCGTCATTAATATTCAAAAATAACTACTTCTGATGGTGCATGTTTAACCTATCTTATTTTAAAGAAATAATAACATTTTGCTAATATAAACTTTGAAAAAAATAATTATTTCCCAAAATAATCTTCTTCTTTTTTTTAAATCATAATTAGAGAGTTGTAATTTTAATATATACTTTTTGCATCACTTTTTACATTAATTTTTTAAAATATCTTTTCATTGCATTAGTTATTTTGTCTCTTTCCTAATTAAAAGACGAGAATTTGTAAGAATAAATTTTTTATTATAATCTGAAATGTCCCAAATCAAAATTTTATTTTTTATATTTTTTTTATCCAAATCACATGCATGTAATTCAAAGGGTTTTAAGAAAAATCTAAGCATGCTATGAATTTTCAAACATGGACCTAGGTAAAAATAGTAGAACAGTGCCCCCTGGGCTCACCCTAGACGTAGCTGACTGACATACATTCAGATTGAGTTCATGGTGACCCAATCTACAGTGTAATTCTTATATGACAGGCATATGTGCGATGTAATAAAATAAATACAGAATCGTCAATTGGGCCAAAAATGATGGGGTTGGGTAGTTCAGCCCAGTTTTGAACAGGCCGAAATGAATAGTACTAGGTTATTAGGCTTATGTTTCATAAGTAGTAATTTGTAGAATTTTTGTTTCTAACTTTAAGTAATGTTTTAGTTTCTAACTTTTAATTGCTCATATTTTATTCTTTTTTACTCTTACATATTTTAAAAAATATATATTATTTTATCCCTTTTCACATCAAGTAAGGACTGTAAGGTTATATATCCCCTTTTACTAGTAGTTTTTGGATACTTTATAAATTATACTATTTATTTTAGAAAATGTTAAATATTCACCCCCAAGTTTGGAGTGAATTGGGGTAGAGAGAAGAGAGAGAGAGAGAAATATAAAATAGAGAGCATAAGTATTAGATATAATATGTGATGTGATGTAAAAATAAAGAGATTAAAATGAGGTGAAAATGAACTATAAGAGATTGGAATGAATGTTTATCATTATTTTTAATTTCAACCACCACAGTATTTACATTATTTGTTTTATTATTTTAGTATCATTCTTTAATATCTATAACTACTAATAAAAGAGAAAAATTGTTTTGGTGTTCATATTTTATGGATTCTTTTACCCTTTAACTAATATTTACAATCATTCAAATATTATAAAGTTAACTGCACATTTTTATTTTATTATCTATTATTTATTTATTTAAACAACAACAAAGTATACAGTGACTCATTTTCCTAATATTTATAGTGATATACATCGATATTTATAGTATTTATGGTGGACTAGTAAGTAATAGTAATACACATCGATATTCAAGAATACAAAATGATATTACCATACTAATTAATCAATATAGTGATAATATATTGTTTAGTTTAGTAGATCTTAGTTTATTTAAAACATGATTGATAATATTTTAAAATTGTTTTGGTAAAGCCAATCTACTAGAAAAGTGACCTAGAAGTATCAAGTTGGAACTCAAAAACGTAATCTATTCTTCTTTGTCTTATGATGAAGAATTTTATACTTAGTTATTATGCCTTCATAGGCTCTGAAATTTTGGGATTTTATGAAAATTTACTTGATAGGGATAATATCATTAGTAACTAGATTTTATTAATATAATGCACAATACTTTATGATTTTTTAAATCATATATATTAGATATTGTAAAGGAGTTTAGCTTGAGTTATTGTAAAAATGGTGACAGGAGAAGACGAAATAGCACGCTGGAGAGATGTCGTTGCTTGACCTTTGAGGTTGTAAGTAGTCAATGATCACCAACCCATATTACTAGAGAGAGTCAAATTACTCTTGTTCCCAATTTGTGCACTTTTGCCAAACTCACTCTTCTAGAAACGCGTAGCAATATTCATCTATAGCACAGTGGTTTCTTCTCGTCTGTATATATCACTTTTGATGAATTGAGATTTGTGTAAGTTGAACAATGAATAAAAGAATAAGAATAAGTGAAGAGAGTCAATAAGAGCATGTGTGGACTTGTAATTCTAAAGTATGAAAATGTAGGAGATTCTGTGTCCGTGTACCCGCCACTGCTCCTCAACCAAGTGCGAAAATAACAGAATTGAATTGAAATTGGAAGCCGATATATTATTATACTATTGATTAATTAAAGTTATATAAACCCCTGCAACGAGCATGGATTCAATTGGCATAGCAAAACACATAAAATAATCAATCAATAGAAGCAGAAGCAGAAGCAGATGGATAGAGGAATATTTGTGTTCCTTTTGATTACGTGCATGGCCGCGGCGAGCGAGGCGAGAACCCTTTTGGTTGGAGACTCTCAAGGTTGGCGTGCCGGCACAAACTACACCCAATGGGCCATCCAAAATAGCCCATTTCATATAAATGACACGCTCGGTGAGTATTTAGAAAAATCCAAGTCACACATCGAATAGAAATAAAGACAACTAAAGAATATATAAGTAAAGAGCAATTCTGACCTTACAAACTAGTTTTATAGAGTTGAGTTAGAGTTAAATTCAGATTTCTAAGAGTGAGCCATAAAAAAATGTTGAAATTTGTCTAGTTATATATAGTTTGTAACAAATTTTGTTGGATTGTGCAGTGTTCAAGTATCCAGCAGCAGGAAATTCTAGTGTGGCTCAGAGCGTGTACTTACTGGGAAACATGTGGAGCTACATAACGTGCGAATTCAGGGGCGCAAAGCTGTTGGGGACTGCAAATGAGGGTGCTGGCGAGGGGTTTAAGGTTCACCTTAATCAACACAGACCTTACTACTTTGCCTCTGCTGAAGGCAACGCTTATGACTGCATTGCTGGACTCACCAAGTTCGTTGCTGTTCCATCAAACCCTTTGTCACCACCAAACTAACTTATTTCAATCTCACACTATTCACTTTCAAATTTAAATAAGTGCTTCCGGATCCTCCTACGCCAAACAAACGCACCTTTACGCCGCTTCTACTATGTGTTTCTTTCATGTTTCGTTTCTATCGTGTATTTTTCTCTCGTTTCTAATAAAACTGCAATTGGCATCACCATTTCCATCTGTTTGCGCTTGGTCTAAATTTGGAACTCACATATACTTTCGGCCCGTATTGAGAGCCCATTGTTCTTACATGTTATGGGCCAAGTCCACAGTTTGCATAGCAAGTCTACCATTTAAAAATTTAATTCACCAAGACTAAAATACAAGATTAATATATATATAACCCTTAGATTAATTTTCTCTTACTTAATTAAACTCCAAATCTTCTCTCACTTGATTAATCTAAAGGTTATATTTTAACATTCTCATCTCTTATAATAAATTCTCTCTCACTTGATATGTTCCTATATATATATAAAGAGAGTTCAAATGACACCGATATAATTTTTATTAAGTATTACATCGTTCAATAACTTTATATTAATTATTATTTTGACAATGAATATTTTGTACTAATGGTCATAGTTATCCAAAAAATATAATTGAGAATGAAAATAATAGAACAAAAATAAATTAACTAGTAGGAATAATATAAATTAATTCTTTTACCACATTTTAAATTATAAAAATAATTGTAATTATAAATATGTATTAGAAATGATAAAATAAAAAAAAACTAGCCGGGGCAGCTACCCCTTTGAGTAGATCCATAAATCATTTTTCTATTATTTTATATTTTTAATTTATTAGTTTAAAAACAAAAAAAGTTTAAACATATATTATTTTATTTCAAAATTATTTTAACCGGAATCAATTTGTAGAATTATGGTTATATGTTTTTTTGTAAATAAAAAAATTATAATTGAAACACGCGCTAAGTCAACCTTTGATTTGATTGCGTAACCCAATAAATCCTCTTGGCGTTACTGTTACGGGTAGGAGGTTGCGTGTTTTACTACTTATTTTTACTATTTTAGTTGTGGAAAATTTATCACTGTTATATCACTATTCCGTAAAAGTAGCACAACGCTCTGTTTCATCATTACACTTACGCGTTATATGAAGATTGAAGATCAATATAAATTTGGTGTTCAACTCGTTCTTTTCTTTTTTTGCCATATTCTATTCGTGTTTTATGATACTCGTCCCAAAGCAAGTCATCATTAAATGATGTTCATACTAGCTAGTTGAATGAATCGAAGTCCCGAAAAAGGAATCAAAAGGAAAAACCAAAAGTTTATCTAATTTATAGCGATATAAAGTGTAGCACCATCATACTGTATATAAACGAGTTATCGATGATCAAATGCAACTTATTAAAAAATGAAAATATGAGTAAACTATATGGATTGTAGTCCATACTCCATATGTGACCCAGTCAATAACAAAAGGTTGCTCATCTAAACTATGATGATTCTTGGTGCAAGTTAAAGAAGCTGCAGCCCCTCTTCCCCTAGCTACAGCTTGCTGCGATTTAAATGCTTTTATGAAGTTTGTCTATTTCTGGGGTAGAATCATAGGGTCCATCATTAATGTAACAGAATCAAGAATATATGACCTTATACCTAAGCTTTTGGCTGTATATGGTAGAAACATTATCATCTATATGTACAAGAACATTATCTTATGGTCTAAAAAAATATTTTATTTTTGTTACTAATTAATATTCTTTAATCTGCAACGATAACCTTTTTTAAAATAAATAATTAAAACCAAATAGTTGCGCCACGGTTTTTCTTTTTAAAGAAAAGAGAGAGAGAGAGAGAGCAAATTAACAATATGCTCACCTTGTTGAAATTTTGTTGCCGGATACGAGGAACTACAAGATTGATATCGAATAAACAGTAGTGATTGTTGTGCATGACCCTATTTCATAGTAAAAGTATTATTTGGATAAGGTATTATAGTTTGAATAATTATCTAAATATTCTTAATTATTGTTCCAGCAATAAGTTATAATGTCTATCGTCCAAGCATTAGGTGTTTGTTTTGTATTTTGTGTGTAATTTGTTTCTCTCCTTTTCTTTACTCCTTTTTCTCCGTTTATACCGACTTCCTTTAGCTCTAGGATTTTTCATTGTGATTTGTGGTCACATGGAAACTCCCCCTCCCTAAGCATCGTGTTATAGGAATAATTGTGATCATGTTGACTAAAAAATCAGGACACTTATTCCTCTAATAGAATGTTATCCTTTCATAAAAAGAACAACAATTATTATCTTGTAAAAAGAGTGATCTTAGTAGTGAAAGGATGATGTTCAAGCAGAGAGAGCGTCTCAATTTTTGTGGCAACACGATCACAATTGTCCTGTAACATGATGCTTGGCAGGGGAAGTTTCTAGATACTTATAAATCATAATGAGAAATTAATATAAAAGAAGAAAAAATATTTTTATGATTATCTATCAATTTAAATTAATAAAATAAAATATATGATAGTTTTTAATTTTTTTAAAAATTTATGAATTTGATTTATACATTAAAAAATTTTAATTTAATGATTAGGTTGTTAAAATATAATATAAAACATAAATTATTAAGTAAAATAAATCTAAGTAAATTTATTCTTAATATAAATAAATATCTCATCTTTTACACACACATACATATATATACATACATACATACATATATATATGGGAATGTTAATATACTCCTACTAAAAAGTAGGTGGGAGTATGTTAGCAACCTACACCAAAATTTTACGACAAAAAAATCACTCATTAATTTTGATTTGGTTAATTTGTATAAAAGATATTATAGTAATTTAATTTAATTTTAAATGAAAATTAAATATTTTTTCTCTCTTATTAATTTATTTACTAGGAAAGATGAATGGGTTGAAGAAGGAATTTAATAGGAGAGATGAATGACTTAGTAAATAAATTAATAAGAGAGAGAAAATATTTAATATTTTTTAAATAAAATTAAATTACTATAATATCTTTTGTATGAATTAACCAAATTAAAGGAAATGACTGATTTTTTTGTCCTAAAATTTTGGTGTAGGTTGCTAACATACTCCCACTAAAAAATAGATGAGAGTATATTAGCATTCCCCATATTTTATATATATATATATATATATATATATTATCGATACTCGTTCAATAGATATTCGAGACAAATAATGTAGATACATGCACATCGAACAGATAACAATGTGTATTAGTTAGTAGTTTACAAAGTGGAGAGACACACATCCTATATAATAAAATAAATTTAATCGACAAAAGTAAATTTAACAAATATTTTATTTAAATAAGGTTTCTAATTTTAAAGGTTACTTTAATTAAAATAACGTGAGATTTAAATTTGTAAAATTATTACCAACAGCAAATAGATCAATAAAACAAAAAGTGTAGTGTCTGTGACTCTGTGTTTTTATTTTAAAATTAATATATTATAATGAAGTGCGAATGTGAAGTGAAATGGATAATAAAGTATACTCGGTCACGCGCTTAGTCATTTATACAGATCCTTTGTGGATAATTAATCGCATTTAAATCAGCAGTTTACAACCTTTTTATTGGGTAATTTCTCTTTTAAGCAATAATCATGAATCCAATGCCACTCTTATCCACCCAAATCTTAATTGGTAAAGAATAATAGGGAAACAAAAAGACGAAGCAGACAAAGTGTGAAGATTATATAAAGTTGTAATAGTCACCAGCAGAATGGCACAAGGAACTTTGATTGAAATAATTAATAAATGATGAGGCTTTTTCTTTAATTTGAATAGAAATAAGGAGAATTGGAATGTATAAAAATAGAAAGCGTGTATCGATAACCACAAACACAAATAATTAAGCTCCTTGTTTTCTGGTTGGTATATGATCTATGCATTTACCATTCATTTTTCACTTCCCCGTCTCCTCAGGAATCAAGTGTGTTTCGTTAAAACACTTGATCTCTAGCCATAGTGAAAGACAGTGTTTGGTGACCAAGTTGCGGTAGCTGACAAGTTGCCAGCTTCTAAATCCAATAGTCATCTTTAAACACTGGACTCCGTGAGTTGGGATGGGGAAGCGAAAAGCAGAAGAAAAAAAAAATAACGTTAGGTTTTGCCCCAAATACACTCCATAAGAAAATAGCTAAATGTCTGGCGGAGTAGAAAAAAGATTGGTATGAACAGAACAGCAGAATGGTTTAATTAATTCCCTGATAATGAAACCGCAGAGTAATTTAGTTGATGATTCATGATTCATGATTCATGATTCATAATTCATTTAATTTAATGGAAAGCCGAGTTGTCGGAAAAATTGGAAGACACGTATTCCCTGACTTCCCTGGCGATGACGTCCCTCATCATATCCCAGAAGGCGGGCGGCGCAGTCTCCGGCGAGGGGCGGTGGTCCGGGAGGGGTTCCTGGGGCGCGGCGGCAGAAGCAATACCGGGGGGAGCAAGAGTCAACGCGGTCAACGGGTCATCCTGGAAGTGGGAGTGGAGAGAAGGAGCGGAAGAAGAAGCGGCACCTTGGTTGGCTCGGCGCTTGAGCGTGGAGTTCCAGTGGTTTTTAACGGCATTATCGGTTCGGCCCGGAAGTAACCGGGCAATGGTGGCCCACCTGTTACCGTACTGGGCGTGGGCCGCTATGATGGTCTGATCCTCTTGGGGCGAGAAGGGGCGGTGCTGGACGGAGGGGCTTAGCTGGTTACACCACCTTAGCCTGCAGGACTTGCCGGACCTGCCCTTTATGTAGCGGCTAATCAAGGACCAGTTTCGGGGCCCATATCGTTCGACGAGTCGAGTGAGGATCCGATCCTCTTCGGCGCTCCAGGGGCCTTTGATTCTGTCGGGGTTGTTAGTATTCCTGTGGTTGGAGTCGGAAGAGCAAGAGTCGGAGGAAGAGGTTGTGGAGGAGGAGCTTCTGTTCATTTCTTCCATGTTGGAATGAATACAAATGAGTGTGTGTGTGTGTGTTGTGTTTATATATAGATATACTTATACACACACAGGTGCAGGTGCAGGTGCAGGTGCATGCAGTTTAGTTAATGACAAGGGGTACTTCCAGGAAAGTGGGCTTTTATAGTTGGTGGCCTGTGGGGGTCTAAGTGTCTAACTACTATGACTACCGAGATGCGATTTGTTTTCATATCTATCTGCTTGCCAGACCCAGCTTTCTGCCTGCCACTCTCTCTCATTTCCTCCTTGAAACTTCCTCCACACCTTCATTTTATTATTATATGTTTTTACCACCTCTTACTTTTTTCTTCATAACATGCCCCCAACCCTTATTATTCTTATTCCCTCTTCTTCTCCTTACTAATTTGGCACTTTGTAATTCATAACACTTAGCCTGCCTCTATTTAGGTATCCTCAGGTTACGACTTACAATACATTATTCATCCACTTCGCACGTATATAGTCCAAACAAAGTAATCCCCAACCCAACCCTAATGAACAGCTGTACAGATCCAGGACATCTTATATTATTTTCTTTCTATTTCATCCATCTATCAATATTTCTCCTATGGGAACGAGGGTAGGCCATGAAGCTAGAAATAAAAGAGGGTATGAATATGAAATACAAAATCATTCTCGTACCGAATAAGTAGGGTATGGAGTATATTATTATTAATTATTATTCTTAGGGGCGCAAGTAGTTAATTGCTCTCTGTTGGGGGCGTTTAAAACATGAGGTGACAGGGAAAGACGAGCTGTTTAACACACAAGAAACGTTTATCTATTTTAATGTAAATACAAAGATTACTAAAAGGAGAGGAAGTGGGGTCGAAGGCCTTTTTGACTACTTTTGTTTGCCGGACAGCTGTAATGGAAAAGTGAGCAACGAATTACGAAAGGGGTGGGAGTGATGTGCAGCAATGAGTTAGTAGTAAAATCTTGGTTACGATATTTGAAAGAAAATAAAAATACATAAACGGCTTCAGAGATGACTTCAACGTCCTCCACGTAGGAAGGGCCCACTCCAGCCTGTAAGAATCTCACGTGATTCAAATTGAATCCCTTTGACTTCTTTACCTCTAAATCTACCATTACTTCGGGCCCACATTTCCTCCTACACACCAACTTCAATCAATCCACCCCACCCCTAACAAAATTCCCTCCTTCACCTATTCATGTTTCCACATTGTAACCTATTCCTTTTATACTTCTTTAATGCCCTTTTTGTATTTATTTGATTATTATAGATCATTTTATTTAACTCACATTATTTAATAAGTTACTAAATATTATCTGTTCTTATCGGAGATCAGTCGAGAGGGATGATCTATTGAGCAAGATTGGTGAGCCTTCCTTGCTGGGTACGTCGGCTGCTCTAAAGTGGGGGTGATACCTGAAAAAAAGACTCTGATGTTAAAGTTAGTCTTTGATAGTGTAATCGTTTCATATATATAGTGCACGTACCTTGATGTGAATTAGAATTTTCCTCTTAGGCGAGGGTAATGTTGATTTGGGCCTGAGATTAACCACGGCCCGATAGATAGTGGACCTTTGCTCTGGCCAATGTCATGTGGCGTCTATCTGATGTCGTTTATTGCTTTAATGCTGAGCTCAAGCTCGGCTTCTCGACGGGGATAGTACACTAGCCCCCTGAGCTCTGAAGACCTCGGGTCGAGGAGTTGATACCGAGTTTGGTGGAGGGTCGCGACTTTTCATCTCTGCCTCTTGGGCGAAACGTCATGTGTCATAAAGTGTCACCTCGTTTCCCGAAACGCATGGGCGACTTGTAATGAAGGGTGGCGGCTTGTAATGATGGGATGCACCCTGTCATTATGAGTCTCATTTAATGCTCTGCATCTTTTGTCGTTTTCCACGTTTTAAATCACTTGGGGCTTTTTCTCCTTCGTACATTTGGTTTCCCATTCGCGCGTAGCTTTTCCTCTGCACACTTTCCTCTCCGTTCTTCTTCTCCGTCGTCGTTGTCTTGTCATTGTTCAAGGAGTACCAGGTACTTCTTCTTTGTTTCCCTTTTCCCTTTCTGTTAGTAGTGTTGTGAGCGATGGCCGGTGAGGGGGAGTAGGGCCTATCGTCGCCTAGGGTCGCTTCTGGGCAGGCCAAGGGGAAAGGTAAGGCGAAAGTGGCTGCCACTGACAGTGAGCCTAAGAAAAAGAGGGGGGGTAATAACCCCAAGGATTCACACCCCGCCATCTTTGTCCCTGGGTATGAGTGGGTTAGAGGAGATGTGGGTACCTTCAAGAGTAGGTTCATGTCTTATCACGATGTGAACTCTGTGTGTAGTTCACTCGTGATTAATAGGTCGCCTGTTTCTGAGCTCATCCGGGTTGAGCCTTGCCAACCTGGAGAGCGTGTGTATATGCCGTGTATTGTGAACACTCCGTTCTTCTACATGTACCGCTGTTTCTTTAGGTACCTCGGTGTTTGCTTACCCTTCAACGAGTTTGAGTGTCGGTTTCTTAGATTTATAAACGTGACCCCTTGTCAATTGCATCCCAACAGTTGGGGGTTCTTGCTCGCCTTTCAGGTTTTGTGCTCAGCTTTGGGGATGAATGCCTCTTTGCCTGTCTTCCTTCATTTCTACCAGCTTAAGCTGGGTGAGCCTCCTCTAGGTTGGGTGTCTTTGAGTGGGAGTAAGGCTGGAGGGGTATTTCAACTTTACTCTTAATCGTACAAAAACTTTAAAGAGGAGTTCTTCCGGATCTGGCTATAAACAATGATCCGATGACCGAGGAGGTCTTCCATTTTGGGGGGAGCCGAGGTTCCCCTTCTTCTGGCAACAAAGCCCAACGAAGTTTAACGGGCCGAGTTGTATACGTTTGTCGGACTCGGACAGGGATGACATTGCCAACCTGGAGGAGTTGTCGTGGCCTTTGGATAGCAAACTTGTGTTGTCGATGGCGGGTTTGAAGAATAAAGAAAGGGGGTTGGAGCGTGAGTATTTGGTATTGTGTTTGTTATTTTTCTTCTGAGTTGTGTTGTTGTCCTAATCATTGTGTTTGCAATGTTTGTTTGCAGAGTTGATGGGGAAGAGTAAGTGGCGCGAGCTGAAGGCGAAGTCCAACATCGAGGAGCTTGAGGTGCCCGAGCCTGGTGAGGAGGTCGCTCCTCTAGAGACTCGTCGCAAGAGGAAAAGGGGGCCCGACGAGGTCAGGGAGGCCTCGAATCTTCCAGTTTTGGAGGAGGTGACGTCGAAGATCACCGATCCTCCTGGTACGATTGATCTGACCGTCAGTCCTCGGGCTGAGTCACCATCGAGTGAGCCCGTGGTGGAGGCTATTCCGCTAAGACATGTATTGTATACTTATATTGGTTTCTTTGCTTTCCATATGTATCTTGTGTAACTTAGTAAAAATATTGAGATGTATGATATTGTCGCAGGCGACTCTGACATCAGCCTTGGTCGAGGTTAGCGAAGGAGGTCCGAGCTCTCCCGCCATTCCAACAGCGGCCCCTCCGATCTCCACCTCGGCGAACCCTGGCGCTTCCTCGGCTTAGAAGTTGAGGTGCATTGTCCAGCGCTTCGACGTCAGCCGGCCCTTGGCGAGATTGGACCACGTCAACATCACTCCCGATGTGACATCATTGTGGAGCGCTAACCTTACCGCCGAAGGATTCTATAAGGAGGATCCAACTTTTGTGGCTGACAAGGCCATGATAGAGAAGGTGGGGCCAGTGGAGGGCCTGGACTTGGCGGAGGTCTTCATGCAGAGGTCGATTGCCATCGTGGATCATTGGAGGCGGCGTTGGCAGAAGCATGAGGTTGAGCTAGAGAGAGTGCGGAGAGGCGTAGCGGAGCTTCCAGCTTTGAAGAGGGATTTCTCCAAGTTGCAGAAGTCGTTGGAGGTTGCTATGAAGGCCAATGAGGCCTATGCCACCCAGGTTGGCGAGCTGGTGAGTGAGTGCTGTGAAGTCGGCCAAGGGCGAGGCTGAGGTCGCCCTGGGTCGAGTGCGACTGCTGGAGGAGGAGAATATCTTCTTGAAAGCCAAATTGCGGGCGGCCAAAGAAAAGCATCTCTGTGATGAGGTTTTTCTGGTTGGCAAGGGCGAGGAGGTTAGTGCCTTGAAGTTGGACCTTGAGGCACTGTCTTCCTCAAAGAAAGAAGTGGAGAAGACTTTTCATGAGACCCAACGCGTCGTGATAGTTGAGCATAAGAGGAGATTTGCCAAGGCGGCTTGCCAGGCCCGATTAATTGCTCCTGAGGTAGACTTCTTGTTGATGCACATTGATAAGGATGTGCGAGATGGGCAGTTGGTGAATGAGGACGACTTGTCTGAGAGTGCTAGCGAGGATACTGCTGCCTAAGCCTTTATTTCTCCTGCCTTCCTTTTGTTGTGATAGACTTAGCTTAATTTATTTGCTTTTGGTGTTGTATTGAACTCATTACTTTTTGAATGAATTTGCTATATATATATTGCTTTTCGCGCTGTTGCTTGAAAGTGAATTTTTGATTCAAAATTTTGAGGTTCAAACTTGGCTTTTAATTTTCGCGTTAAGGCTCGGGCTTGGCCTTAAGGTTCAAACTTGACCATTAATATAATTTGCGCAAAGGTTCGAATTCGACCTTGATTTAATATGAATCGTGCCAAGGTTCGAATTGGACCTTGGCTTAATATGAATCGTGCCAATGTTCGAATTCGACCTTGGCTTAATATGAATCTTGCTGAGGTTCAAATTCGACCTTGGCTTAGTATGAATCGTGCCCAGGTTCGAATTCGACCTTGGCTTAATATGAATCGTGCCAAGGTTCGAAGTCGACCTTGGCTTAATAGGGATCGTGCCAAGATTCGAATTCAACCTTGGCTTAATATGAATCGTGCCGAGGTTCGAATTCGACCTTGGCTTAGTATAAATCGTGCCAAGGTTCGAATTTGACCTTGGCTTAATATGAATCGTGCCAAGGTTCGAAGTCGACCTTGGCTTAAGATGAGTCACGCCAAGGTTTGAATTCGACCTTAGCTTAATATAAATCGTGTCAAAAATAGGTTAGATGGTGTGAGATTGGAGAAGTATGAATGAAGTGGGTTATTCTTATTGAAGTTGTGGGTGTGCCTCGTTAAAAACCCTCTCAACCAAAACCCATTTTTCTATATTTTGGGACAAAAGACTGAGTAGGGAAAAGAGTGCAATAACCCATTTGTACAATTCAGCTAAAATAAAACTTGAGGTGAGTGGCATTCCAAGTTCTTGGGATGGTTTTGCCGCTAAGCTCCTATAGTTGGTATGCTCCATTTTCTAAGTCTTCGGTAACTCGGAACGGGCCATCCCAGTTAGGTGCGAGTTTTCCTTCTGATAGGTCTTTTCTCACCTCGCCTTGTAGTCTCCACACTAGGTCTCCGACCCAGAAAGAGCGAGGTCGGACTTGCGTGTTGTACCTTCTGGAGGCTCGGAGTTTGCAAGTTTCTTCTTAAATCCGAGCCTCCTCTCTGAGTTCGTCTATTAGGTCAAGGTTGGTTGTTGTTTCTTGAGTGTTTTGCTCACTGTCAAAGGTGTGACACCTGTGAGACCAGTTCCCATTTCTCTCCCTCTCATCACTCAACTCATACTTCCTTTCTTCCTTCACTTTGATTTTCTCTCTCAAATTCCCTTCTCTCTTTAGCTGAAGCCGGGAGCAACTAGGAGATCCTTCTTCTCCTTCCTCTTTCATGAAGCCGTGTGGAGTTCTTCTTCATCTTCTTCTTCGTTTCTTCTTCCCGGAGCTCGGATTTCTCGCACCGAGGTAAGGGAAGCTAGTTTTCTTAGTAGATTTTGTTGGAAATGAGTTCTTAAACTCATGGTGTGGTTGATTCCTTGAAGATTGATGGCTATATGTGATGAAAATGGGTTTTCGGGGTTTGATGAAAAATTTGGAGTTTTTGATGATTGATGGATGCATGTTGAAAAAGCTAGTATTTTCGGGTTGTATGCTGAAAATGTGATGTTTTGGACCGATTGCATGTGCCTGGGATGTTGATTTTGCAGGTTTTGGGTGAAATTTTCGAACTGGGGAGAATTACTGTTTGAATTTGTGCTGGGCGCAGTTCTTCGCGCCGGACGTGATTTGAAATGGGGAATCCCTGTGTGAATCACGCCGGGCGTGGGGAGAACCATGCCGGGCGCACTATCAAACGCGAATCTTATGTTTTTGTTACTGATATCGAGCCGGGCGCAGGTTGATTGCGCCGGGCGCAATAGACCTCTGTGTGTCTCTAGTTGAGAATTGCGTCGGGCGCGGTTTTAACGCGCCGGGCGTGCATTTGATTTTCAGAATTTGATTTTATAGTCTTCGTGAAAGTTGTATCCTTGGATGTTAGCTTTCCAATGGCGCTGGAATCACTCAAAAAGGAGTTTTAGAACTCTAGATATGGCTGTTTTAGTGAAGAGAGGTCGAGCTTCTAGCTTTGTTTATAGCTGTTGCGGGTTTTATCATTTTTAACAAGGTAGATGAAGGAATTAGGTCTTGGTGTCTTCATGAGAATTGTAGGAAATCTTCTTATCTTTCATATGAGATAAGAATGAGTATGGTAGGAGTAGTGTAACTCCTGATGCGCTATTTTTTGTGAAGGTTGTCATTTCACATTTAGTGATTTGCTTAAGTTGAAGATTGTTTAAGGTGCTTATGTTGATTGGTGTTGTTTGGATGGGTAATTTGACAAGATAGATGAGTTGTAAACAAGGTGGATGAGCCGTATTATGTGTAGAATATGTTGTATGTTGTATATGTTGTTAATGATGTAATACTATGTTGTAATAGATATATATATTGCTGTGCTGCGCTGAGCGCGGCCCTTGTCGCGCTGGGCGTGAGACTCCTTGGGAGTCTCTGCCTTGTGGGCGCTGGGCGCAATTAGTATTGCGCCAGGCGCGAGTGAGCCTTGGGCTCTCTAGCTGGCTCCCGTCGGGCGCGAGCATGCTTGCGCTGGGCGCGTTGGCCCCCTGGTGTTCTCTGGTTGTACCGCGCTGGGTGCAACCACAAGGGCGCCGGGCGCGGAGATGAAATTTTACTATATGCTGGTTTATGTTGTTTTATGCTGAGTTGAGTTGAAATGGATGAATAAAATGTGATGACTAGTAGATGATGTTGGTTGATTGATGTTGAGTTGTAAAGTTGTGTTGTGTTGAATGTTGATATGAATTGTTGTAGGCCATAATGGCTGAGTTGTTGTAGGCCATAAGGGCTGAGTTGTTGAAGGCCATATTGGCTGAGTTGTTGTAGGCCATAATGGCTGAGTTACTGTAGGCCATAATGGCTGAGTTGTTGTAGGCCATAAGGGCTGAGTTGCTGTAGGCCATAATGGCTGAGTTGTTGTAGGCCATAATGGCTGAGTTGTTGTAGACCGAAAGGCTGAGCTGTTGATCACTAAGGCTAGAGGAAATGTTTTTTCGAAACTTCCTCATCCCATTGTGTGGATTGAGTGGCTGTGGTGCTCTTAGAGCCCAATTTGTTGAAAACCCTCCCTGGAAAGCTGACCCTTGGAGTGGTAACTTGTTGTTCTCCTCTAAGTCTTAGTGGTCTCGTGTGTGGGCAAGGTCGAGGCACACGTGTACAAAGCGACCACGGTATAGGGGCCAGGTCGAGCTATACCGATTACAAGCGACCAATACTAACTTATATGCGTGACGACGCATTGTATGTTTTATTGCCGTTATGTTGTATGGCTGATGAGTTGTATGCTGATGATGTGAGACGTGTGCTGTTATTGTTGAATGTTGTGGTATTTTAAGTTGATGTTGTTAAGCTGGTTGATGTGCTGATAACTGTAGTTGTCTTCTATTCACATATTTATATATGTATGTTGTTTCCTTTCACTAGCTTACCCTTTGTTGTTTCCATGTGGTTTGGACTGCGATGATCATACTATGTATGGGAGCAGAGCAGGGATAGGTTGGTGGCTAGTGGTGAGTCTGCAGCTGGCAGGCGGAGTTGACCCTTGTTGATGTTTTGCTGTTTCAGCTACTTGGTGTAGTAGCTTTGGATGTATTTTTGTACATTTTGAATCTAGTCAGACTTGGACAATGTATATATGTATATTCTAGACACTATATATATACACTTATTCCTTTCTGTCCGGTTTTCAGGTGTACTGTATAGTGTGTAGTGACCAGCTGGGTCGTTACAACACCGATGAGACGTCTCGTCGACCTCGACTGGGATCATGACGTCGGCTCCATAAGTCACCTAACTAATAAATAATAATTATTATTATTATATAAATAGGGCGTTTCATTCGCGTGAGAATAATAAAAAATGATACAACTAATAAATGATACATTACCATTCGTGTGAGAATAATAAAAAATATTTAAATTTTTTAATTAATTATGATATTCTTCTTATATTTCATTTATTATTCAATATATAAAAAATAATCTTAAAATTTTCAAATTTTTTAATATATGATATAAAACATGTAGATTATACTCGTGAAATATTTTGGAATTAATTATTGATAGGTAATTTTAAAAGAAGTCTTTTGTTATGAAAGTATGACATATCTACATAAGTATATTAACAAAATTATACTTACAATACATGAAAATAAAATATTTGATAAGTAGACAATAGAAAAATATTTATATTAATTAAAAAAAGTAAGAAAATTGTTTTGGGTGGGAAAAAATAGCGTAAAGCAGGCGCGCGGTTAAATTAGTTTGAGTGGGAGAGAGAGCAATGAGATAGTAGCTGCCCTCGTGGCATAAATAAATAGTTTTTGGAGTGTTGTGATCCTAAGAAGGGAAGGAGTTGGGCAGTTGATAAAAACAGCTGGCACCAAACTCTAACGCACCGACTTCGCCCTTTATCTTATTATTATATGACTTCAGTTACATTGGAATGGAGCACACCACCACACAAGCCACCAACAACATATAATAATAATAATATTTTTTGAAGACAACAATTTTTTTTCTTTTATATTATGCATACAGAAAATAATACTTTGTCTCTTAATATTTATTTAAAAAATAAAATAAAAGGTAGATGATTATTAAAAGAAAAATAAGTATTATTTTTAATTTTTAATTTAATTTTTTAATAAATAAAGAGTATAATAGTTCAACATATCTTAATAATATTAAATCTAGGATGCTCAATTTCAGACACATTTTCTAAAATAAAATTAAAATATGTACTGGCCAACCGAGTTATCGACTTGTCCTTCACCAAACTACTGACTCGGTCAAAGGTTTACCAGCCTAACCAAGCAGTAAGCTCATTATTGCCGAGCTTCTTAGCTCGACCATGAAACATGGACATCGGAACACCACATCGGCCCACAAAGGCCACGCCATCAAAACAAATAAAAATACAATCTTGTCACCGCGCCGCCCACGCGTTATGGGAACGAGGTGACGGCTATGACACATGGCATCTCGACAGGCAGATGTACGCGAAGGGCCACAACCACTTGACGAGCTCGGACTTAACTCCTCGACCTACGGTCTTCGGAGCTCGGGGGGCTA